GGCCCGGCAGGTGACACATGTCGTCGCCGAGGACCGCTTTGTCGGTTTCGGAGACACGGACGAGGCTGCGGCTGATGCTGTCACGGTGGTAGCTGCGGCGGCGGCCAGGTCTGCGGTTATGTTTGCCGTCGTTGAGGCGGCGGCGGTGGTGGCAGCGGCTGTCGGTGGTCTGTCGGGTCGGAGGTGATGTCCAAGGTTGTCGTTGTTGTTATTGTTGACGCTGCTGTTGCCGATGGTGTTGCTACCGTACAGGTCTGCCATTCTCCCAATTACCTCGATAGGCGCGCGCCCTCGTTGCTCACCGGAACTCGGCGGCGCGTACAATAGACATGGAGAGACAGATGAGGCTCAGTCTAGGGCTCATGGGTTGCCCATTCCAGAGAACAATCGGCGTGGGTCTCTCTCTTTGAATGCGTGCGCGCAGCCGGCAGCGTGTCTACTTAGCTACTGTATTCGTTCCGAGCTGTGCCTAGGTAATTATGCAGGAGAAATCCGGGGAACAATCACACTGTGCGTGACTGTCCCAGCTCACTTGACATAAGGTAGGGCAGAGTGTGAGGACTGGCAGTCAGTTGGGGGATACGGAGGACGGGGAATGCGTGGGAAGAGAGAAGGAGACGGAGGAGATTGGCTCTGGGAGGCGCTCCGTGACCGAACTGTGAACTGTGCATGTGTCTCTCGGCACCACACTTGTTCTCACTGCTCAATCCTCAATCCCTGGCAACGGTCCCTCTCAGGCGACAATACCTACACTCCATTCCATGTACGTTCCTGGCACAAGTCATAGCCGTAACCGGGCCCTTTCGGGAGGTGTCTCTGACCTTGGGAGCCTTGGGAGGTGACATTAGTTCCTTGGTATCGGAGCTGAGCAACCCGATCCATCATTGCTGGGCATTAATCAGTGGGGTGTGCTACCCTTCTAAGGTACTGCCAAGTTGCCAACGTAGCTCCCCGAAAATCTCTCCGGTGGGATGTTAGGGCGAGGAACTTTGTTTCTAGAACACCCAACGCCACAAATACCCTAAGAGACCTTGAGAGTCTGTGAGACGTAAAAGCCATGCAGCGATTCCACTCAAGCTGACACAACAAATTCAATGATAGGCTGAGCTCGGAATATCTTGACTTTAGCAGGCAAAAGTGAGTCTCCTGCAAAACTGTCCCTTGTCCGTGGGTTATGCCAACATAACGGTGAAGAGACCACCGTCATTTGGACAACCATCCACACAACACCACTCCGGCACAAGGGGCGGCTGTCGGCACCCAGTTGGCCTAGATGAACTTGGATCTCTAAGACTTTTGCGAACGGGACTGAACGCTCAATTGTGCTCGAGCGTCGAGAAGCAGTTCTTGAAACTAGCCACAGCTGTAGAGGCTTATTTAGAGCCTTTACAGTCACGCGACACAATCTGAATATGTGCACTTCATAGAGGCTAAACAGCGTGTAAGAGACAGTCCCCGGCTGTCGGCTTTGAGATAGATACCGATTGCCGGCACCGAAAGCCGCGAATGAGTAACCTCCAAAATACGTTGTTTCTGCATTTCGCACGCAATCGCATTGGGGCCAATACTGGACGCTCTTTTTGAAGGCATACCAGACTCATAAGAACATTTGACCAAGGTCATTTAATTTTTTGTTGTGGGTTGCCTCATGGAGAGAGAAGCTTAGTATTGCCGAGAGCCGAGTCAAGCCCCTCTTGTACTCTAGGAGTATGAGCGCTTCACCGCAGCTTCTCTTTGTCACATGGAATCTGGCTTCTTTTATCCTTCGAATGTGTCGTAGACATGGAGCGCCCTCTAGGATCTAGCGGCGGTCAACTTCTGCCTCGATTGTCTAGTAACTCTGTACTATGTGCTTCGCATAGAGAATGTAAGTCTTTCTGTTGATTCTCGACAAAACAGTCTAGTCTAGGTAGTGAAGGCAGTCTACACTAATCCGTGGCGCCTATTTTATCACAGCCTCCTGCAAAAGTAAGTAACAAGAACCTGATCAATTATGACAATGACATAAGACACAGTGTGTGAGTTGGTTGAACGACCGGACAAATGCTTCACATTCTATCCGAATTTGGATGCGCTACACCGACAATGCGGTCAGGGATACTCGGTGAGATGAGGCGGTCAAGGTGTGGCCGGGTGGCGGTGCGGGGCTTGACCGAGCCAAAAGGGAGGGGTGGCCTGGGCGCCTGTCTTATCGAAGAAAAAACTACACCCCACCACAACCCCGCGATAATAGAGAAATTTCCCATCCCGTTCAAAATCATTCGCCGCACTCACTGCCTGCTGCCTCGACACTCTCGATTTGTCTGCACCGAAAGAGCATTTTTCGCCGCTTTCCGGCGCATAACATTCCCACCACAAACGAAAAGTCGACAAGCCATCATGTCCACCGATGCCGTGGCCGCCCCGGCGGTCGCAAGCCCAACTGCGGCCGAGGAGCGCAAACCCATACACGCTATTGTTCTGGATACCGGCCCATTGATCAAGAACGACCCTCCTGTCAGCACTCTAATCGCACAGGCCGATGAGCTCTACATGCTACCCTCCATTGTCGACGAAATTCGCGATGTCAGCACCCGCACTCGAGTTCAGACTACCCTCATGCCTTTCGTCAAACTTCGCAACCCCCGCCCCGACAGCATCAAATTCGTGTCCGATTTTGCACGCCGGTCTGGTGATCTCGAGGTTCTCAGCAGACCTGATTTGCACTTGCTTGCCTTGACCTACGAGCTTGAGCTTGAGAAGACCGGAGGCGACCAGAATCTGAGGAAACAGCCGGGTGCGCGGTCTTCTAACGACAAGGCATCCGGCGCCGAGACGCCGGTACCAGAAGCCGAGGCTGAAAGTGAGTCACAAGGAAAGCCCGCGACCGAAACTGATGAAGTGGCGGAGCCCACTCAAGTCCAGGAGGACACTTCAATCGAACAGAGCGCCGAGGAGACACAAACCGAAACTCAGCAGAATGCGACAGTGGAAGCCTCGTCATCGGACGTTGAGACGGCACAGATTACACAAGATATGAACAACCTCGAGGTGGACGACAAGACAACATCCGATCCAGCTGTCACAAGCGTCGCTGGCGCCAGTGAGGCCCAAGGAGAGGAATCAGATTCTGAAGACGGTTGGATTACACCGTCCAATGTGAAGAAGCAAAAGGAGAAGGACAGCAAGTTGCTGCAGCCGACTGCGCCTGCAATTGACATCAAGGTCGGAATCCTTACCACCGATTACGCCATGCAGAACGTCGCTCTGAGAATTGGGCTCAATTTGCTCTCGCCGTCCATGTCGCGCATCACCCAACTCAAGACGTGGGTCCTGCGGTGCCACGGGTGCTTCCAGGTCTGCAAGAAGATGGACCGCCAGTTTTGCCCTAGCTGTGGACAGGCCACTCTGATTCGCACGTCTTGCACGACCGATGAGGATGGCACCTTCAAGATTCACTTGAAGCGCAACTTCCAGTGGAACAACAGAGGCAACGTTTTCAGTATTCCCAAGCCTTCAGCTGGCACAGCCAGCGGCAAGCTCTCCAAGAACGTCGGCGGCAAGAACAACTGGGGTACCAACCTCATTTTCGCGGAAGACCAAAAGGAGTACGAGAGGGCTGTGGGTGACAATCGCCGTGCTCGGCGGAGAGATCTCATGGACGAGGATTACCTTCCGAGCATTCTCACAGGTGACCGCCAAACCGGTGCCAACGGCAAGGTGCGACTGGGTCCAGGAAGAAACATTAACGGTCGTAGGAGGAGATGAGAGGCAGTAGGTGGGTTGGAAGCTGATGTTTATATGTTCTGCATGATACCATGATAGACCCCTTAAAAGGCAGGAAAAGGGCCGCGAAACGCAAAAAGTCGAACGGAATGGGAACAAGAAAATAACGAGGTTGGATTTTGGATGTGTCGCTCTGATTGTAGGAATTGCAGAGCAATCTATCGTAACACGGACCTAGTAAAAAGACTCCGATGATCCCCTGAATGCAAGCCTTTCCCCAACGCCGATTTTTGTATACCTGGGCTTGTATTCAAGAGCCTTGAACAGTTGTCAAGGGCTTCGTTGATCCTCCCTCCGCGCCAGACCATGTCTCATGTTCTATTTGTTGTGGATGAGTCGTTCTCAGCGGCGCATGGTGTCGTGAACGAGCTGGGATCGAGTGGACGGATGTATGGTTTTTCGATTGCTTCTTGTGCGATTTACACATTTACTCGGCCTCTGGAAAAATCATGATTAGATTGGTTTCCGGTCGAGTAAGAGACGCAAAACTTACTTTGCTGCGTAAGCAGAAGGTTGAAGCGACGCTTGAGCGTAACGCGCTGGCGCGACCACTTGTCATCGGGAGAGAAGCGGGCAGGGTGAGCAGACTTGGTGACCTTGCCGTCGACAACCTTCTTGAGGGTGTAGACACGGCTGCCCGCCTCATCGAGAGTGTACATCAAATGCATCGTGGAAATCGGGTGGATGTGGTCGGGTTGAGCGTAGAACTGTCGGTGGGTGGTGATCACTGTGCAACGCTTGGGCTGGAGAAACTTTTTTTCTGGCTTTGCGATGCAGACATTTCGAGGTCACGTGATTGTCGGTCAACAACCAATAGATAAGGCTAACCGGGGTATCTTCTCGGTATGGAGTGGGGCAGCCTAAATGGAAGGTACCTTACCTGCCCGATCCTCAAAGGTGATTCCGCACAGTAATGAGCTAAGTGCCCAAGGTACCTTGTCTATTGCCAGAGTCCCAATGTCACAACCCAACATGAATGCTTATAGGTTGTTAGGAAATCGCCACATTGCCTTGCTGAAGTGTCAATTAACGCACACGTGGAGTTCTCTCGGCGCTATCTGTCGTGCAAATCGAAAAACGATGCCATGTTCAAGGTAATGGACATATCAAATCTGATGGCTAGAGGCCACTATTGCAGCATTGAATGGCATGACCTATAATCGGAAGTTGCGGCACCATGAACCTGGCCCATCCGACTTTTGATCAAGTGTAGGGACTGCCTAACCTCCCTGCCCTTAATGATGGTGCCCCATTCCCTGCTCCTTAAAGGGCTTGATGCTATTGCCCTTGGGGAAGGAAGGTCCTACTAATGGTGAGCGCACATTCTAATCATTGCGGAGTGACAAACGCACCAAACTTCGGGTGGACGATATAGTTGTCCTTATATACATCTACTGTATTGTCCCGAGAATAGTCCATGACCTTGTCAAAGTCAATACATTGGTGAGGCGCCGTTTGGTTCACGATGGGCTTCGCGTCGATGTCAGTCCACATGTGGGTGATGATGGAAATGTCACCACGACAGGCTGCACCCATGCGGAGGACCTCAAGACAGTGCTCTGTGGTGTTGATTAGTACTATCTCAGGTTCGACGACTACGCGGTCTCGTTGACAAACTCACGGTTATGCTCTCGATTCGTAGCGATTTCTTGCTTGGTTGCGTTGGGAAAGTAGTAGTCGGGCGACAGCGTTTGGTAGAGACGCTTCTGTACATCTGGTTAACTCTACTCAGATAATCGGCGTGGGCAGAAGATAACTTGCAATGCAGTGCAATTCGTGGAAGACACTGAGCATGCCAAGATACCCGCCATCGGGTAGCTTAACCGCTTCATGCTCCCGTCCCCAACGATGAACCCATTCTTCGGAAACTCGGATATTGTTATCTGAGGTAGGCGACTCAGATTAGTACATGTACTTCCATGTAGATTCAGTAGTGACCTACACTGTAACAAGTCCCTCCATGCTTGATCCACCTCTGGTCTTGGTTCACCCGTGTATTTGCCATGTGGCGGGCCTTGAATAGGGAAGACTTCGAGATGAGTCTTCTCGCCGACAGCCTTTGGCGGTGCTGTACCATAGTGAGTTTCTGGGCCTGGGATAAAGCAGACATTTCAACAATGTGAAACCTACCATCTATCAAACTAAACACTCCCGAAAATGGTCTGTTGGGCAATAATGAAACAGCAAAGATTGCGGTGTAGATGGTGATCAAGACGGCATGGAGAGTCCACACCCCGAATCTATGAAGCTTTGATGTGTGCCGTATGTTTGCTGCTGCAACTGCGGCCTCGACAGCTTCACGACTCGATGCTAGACTCTCATCAGAGTACACAGGCGCGTACTCTTCGTGATTTCGGCCCATCTTTGAGCTGAATTCTCGATAGCGTCTGGAGGTGAGGCAGATAGGAAGTCTGTCAAAGGCCCGACAACAGCAGAGAATGAGATTTGCAGGTGAAGGAGACTAGGACAATTGAGCCGTCCGAATGACCAAATGGTAGACGAAACCAGATGAAGGGAAGACGCCGAGTGGGTGTTGCAAATTGCTACGAGATAGCGTCTTCAGATCAAAGCTGGAAGGATTCGTGAGGGATCACAAAGCTCTGTAAACTCCGCCACAGTCACAGATGTGGGCGTCTCCCGCCTAACGACCCAAGCGGGACATGTGCTGATGATAATCCTTTCCGCCAGATCTGGAAGGTCTGTACAGTGAAGGTCATCTTATCTGCGATGGCGTTTTGAGATTACCTCCGTCAGAGGTCAAATAGACGACTTGAATGGCCGGAGGACGAATGTGTCGGTGCATCCAAATCCTTCGAGCGTCAACACTATACCCAGCCGGAAGAACCCCCGCTGACCAAGTCCAATGTCTGACAGTGGCTCGCTTTTCGAGTCCGGACGAACCAATCTGATACCAATACACCACCCTGTTACGTGTCCCCCTGTCGTCGCATTGCATATGGAGTTTGCCTTCGATGAAGAGCAATGGAAAGTCAGCGAGGAAAGCAAGTTTCTGGCGCTCAGTGGGTATGACAAAACTAAACCACTTTCCACATAGTAAACAAACCTTTATACCACGAAACAATTCGCATTGCGTTTGTACCCGAATCTGGGAAACAAACCTTTGAATGAAGGCTGATCGCTCCACCCTTCGGGATTAGAATCTCGGCCTGGATAAATTTAACCTGTACGGACGAGAGAAGGCAGCAAGTTCGATGTCGAGAGCATGGCTGGGAATTCGAACGCCGGCTGAAAGACCACGAAGTCTCTGGGTCTCCGTTCAAGCTCTATGCAACTAGATCCTATGGCTGTGGGTCGGGAAACTAATTTCAATTCGGAAGGTCAACGATGGAGGTGCTCGTAAGCATGACTCTAAACGGCTACTTCAAATGCCAATGAAGACTGGACAGATCCTTCAACATTTAGCTTACTTTTTTGCCACCATTGACTACCCTGTAAAATTGAGTCTTGGAAGTTGTGCAAGTGAAGCCACAGTTTGTTAATTCTGACTGGTGAAACCACGATTCGTCAGTTGCGAGAGTCATCTAAATGCACCTGCCTCTTTTATCTCGCAGGTCAGCTTGCAAGGTTCCAGCTCCTGATGGCATTGTATACGAACCGAAAGCTTTCCACTATTTTCAAGCGTGACCGATTTGTCTCACGGGGAGTCGATCATAAGAGACAGCTCCAACGCTGTTCACCATTTTCCAACTAGAAGACCTCGACCTTTCCTGTTCTTTCAGACCAGTTATTTTTTTGATTCACACTACAATTCTAAAGCATTCTCTTGACTCGCCGAAGTCTACGTATATTACAACATGAAGGTGATCGTCTTGTTAACGGCACTGGCGGCTTGCATCGCTGCATTGCCTGCTGTTGCTCATTCAGGTCAGGGTACGTCGGTGATAGACTAGAGGTTTTGGCTGGAGATTGGTTTCATAAGCTAAGTGTAAACAGCTCAAACCAGTGCAGATGAATCCTACCTCCCCATGAGGATACGGGCCGAGACCAGTGCCGACGAGTCTTATTTGCCGATGAAGAGGGCCGAGACCAGCGCCGACGAATCATACCTTCCAATGAGGCGGGCAGAGACGAACGCAGATGAATCTTACGACCCTATGAAGCGCGCTGAAACCAGTGCCGACGAGTCTTATGACCCCATGAAGCGCGCTGAAACCAGCGCCGATGAGTCCTATCTTCCCATGTAGACAGACTCACGTCAAGATGGGTTCTGTTGGCTTCCGGGTCTCTCAACTCCGATGTAAGTCTGAGCATGAGAACACAAACCAGGGGCAATGGGGCTCAAGATCACTCGGGATCAATCGCAAGTACTGAGTTGTTGGGGGCGCAGCGCGATATTTACGTTGGTGTTTCCCTCTAGAACGAGAAGTGTTGACTGAATACAACCACGATTGCACATTGAAGTCTCGATTGAGGTCCAATCAAGTCTTAAGTACTGAGGTCTAAGACCACTGCTCGATCATGCTATTGAATTATTCCAAATCCTAGCCCGAATACTCATGAAAACCCCTTCTCAACGGGCTTAGGCCACATGTTGCTGATAAGGGGTTTCCGGGCAATTCACTACTTTACACCAGTGTCAAACTCGTACGTCAGTTCAAGGTGAGACCAAAATACTGGCGGTAGTCAGAGGCACATGGGACATTGGTTCATCAAGCTGGTACAGACTTCAGTTGCCTAAAATTGTATCATTCACCCGCTGAGACAACACAGAATTGAATGGGCGAACCGCAGAACTCGTTGACGGGTAGACAAGAACAGGATTTGGATGGACAGAATCAAACTAAAACATAACTTGGATCATGGAACTCATAGTATCCAGAACCCACTTCAGTTGACTTCCCCCCATTGGGCATCGTGATGTCAGCCTTTGTGTTAGGAGGGATTTCGGCGACCATGTGGAATCCATTACGATGCACGGCATTTTCTTCCTCATTATTTTCGAACCACCATTGGACCTTAACTTCTCCATAAGGTGAAATGTATTTCGAATCAGCACTGGTAATGTTGCCGCCAGGAATCGGGGCAACAGTGATTCGCTTCCAGCCCGGTTCCGCAGGAGCAATACCACCAATGACTTGATGCATCCAGTTGGCAACGGAGCCAAACGCGTAGTGGTTGAAGCTGGTCATCTCGCCAGGATTGACGCTACCATTTGCGAGAAGACTGTCCCATCTCTCCCAAGTGGTTGTCCCATTTTGAACCACCTGATACAGCCAAGAAGGCACTCGAGTCTGAAGAAGCATGCGATAGAAGTCTTCAGTGGCACCAATGTCTCTGAGAGCAAACCCGAGAGGCGGAGTGCCCGCAAAGCCTGTGCCAACAAGGTAGTCATTGTCTGCAACGATCTGTCGCAGCTTCTCGGCAGCAGCTGATTGCTGTTCTTCATCAGTGAACAAACCGAAGTTGAGAGCCATGGCGTACGCAGTCTGAGTCTGGTTTGCGAGGACACCATCCTGGATCCAGGCGTCGTGAAACGCTGAGATAAGATCCTTCCGTTGAGTTCGGTATTGGTCGGCCGCTTCGTCACGTCCCAAAGCTGCGGACATGTTGGCGAGGAAATCAGTCATATGGATCAAATACGCATCGGCGACCAGGTGCTTCGCAGTGGTGGCGTTCCCCGGGGCATCTGAGGGGGCCTTGGGGTCAAGCCAGTCGGCAAATTGGAAAGAGCTGCGGTTCCAAAGCCCAACGTCGTTACGGCTGATGCCCGTATCAATCCAGGCTTGAGACTGAAGGTATTGCTCTTCGAGAAGATCGACATCACCAAATGCTTGGTAAATGTTGAAGGGGTTCGCGACAGCTACATCTCCCCAGACTGCGGCAGGAGTAGCGGGACCTCCAGGGGGGATCGTTGGAATGGTGAATGGAACCACCATTGAGTTGTTTCGCTGCATTTCTGACCAGATGTCTTTGTGCCAGCCTCTCCAAAAACCAGCAGCGTTGTACAAGTAGTTGGCCGTTGGAGCAAAGGCGTGAGCATCACCAGTCCATCCAAGTCGCTCATCACGTTGCGGGCAATCGGTGGGGATCGATAAGAAGTTCCCCTTCATGGACCACCGCACGTTGTGATGGAACTTGTTGAGAAGCTGATTGGAACATTCGAACCAGCCGGTTTGCTCCATGTCGCTGTGGACAACAACAGCAGTGACGGAGTCAGCGGTAAGAGGAGTTTCCTGTGGCCAACCATCGACTTGAGCATAACGGAAACCATGGAAGGTAAAACGTGGCTCCCATGTTTGTGTGCCGTTACCGTGCAGGATAAAAGAGTCAGCCGCGGTGGCAATCCTAAGTGGTCTAAGAGCGAGCTCCCCATCTTCGAGAACTTCGGCATGGTGGAGAGTGATGTTCGTACCGGTAGGCCCAGAGACCGTAAGTCTCAGCCAGCCCACAAGATTTTGCCCGAAGTCGATAAGCGTCTTACCAGACGGAGATGCGAAGATGGACTCGGGCTTTCTTTCTTCAAGTCGTCTGACAGGAGGTCCATCGGGAGGGACTAAAGCGCCTTTGAGTGCGGGTAACTCTCGCACCGCCAGCCAGTCGTCGGCGGCAAATCCTGCAGATGACCACCCCTCCAGCTCTGCCTCTAGTGTGGAATCGTAATGTTCGCCGTTATAAATCTCGGAAGTGATAAGTGGACCAGTGTTAGCTTTCCAGGTCGCGTCGCTCGGCACCATAATCTTGGTGCCATCTTCAAGAGTGACGACTAGGAGACTGAGAAGGCCGATGGTGTCTCCATAATTGTTTCTGACACCGCCACCGTAGCTGAGTCTACCAGAGAACCATCCCTCACCGACTGCAACACCAATTGCATTGTCTCCATTGGAAATAAGTTCCGTGACGTCGTAGGTATCGTACACATGCCGGTAGTTATATGATTGCCATCCGGGGGCAAGAACATAATCACCAACCCGACGGCCATTGATCTCTGCTTCGTAAAGCCCCAATGCGGTAATGTAGAGCCGTGCACGAGTGACATTGGCGTTGACAAGAAATGGTTTTCTGAAATAGACCGGACGTTTAGGAGCTTCAACTTCAGTCTCCCTTTCGGCAGCGACGGGGACAGCCCCGGCCCAATCTGAAGAGTTGAGGAGCCCGGTCTCGACCGTGACCCAATCTGACCAGGGCGTAGACAGTTGGCCAGGTCTACCGTGGGCCCGAGCTCGTACTCTAGCTTGCTCGGCCGATTCTAGAGCTGCCGCTGGCCATGGAACAAGGAGAGACTCAGTCGAGTTAAAGTTGTGGATGGTTGGGGGATCTGACCCCTTGAGAATTTCCAGATCGTAGGCGCTCTGCTCCCAGTCAACGGCATTGCCAGAGAATCGCCATGAGATGCGAGGCTCTGATTCGGCAATGCCAAGAGCTTGTCGATGGTGCTCGAAAGAAAGCTGAGATATCGAAACAGCCATGATGAAGAGAGAGTACTTGAATAACTCCACCTAACTTAGCGAATAAAGGCTTAGAAAGGCTTGCATCGACAACCGCTAAATGACGCCGCAATTTAGGCTATATATATATATATATTGTGGTCCTAGGAGGACATGAAATAATATAATCTTATACCAAGTCCACCGAGGCTTGTCGGGGAGCATTCACCCGTGTATCCATACCCTTGAACTTGCCATAACTCAAACATTTTTGCAGTTACTCGGCCGTCGCTATCCCGTTGTCGAAGTTATGCTTGAGTGCTAGCCTTAGCTAGGAATTCCTAACCCCTCTGCTCGTCTTAATCAACCCGAAGTCTGTGGATCTTGCCATCAGTTTGCGGGGTCCCCAGACTGTGAGGTAGGATCCTTGACACCTTCTGACGGCATCTAGGATCGGGTGTTGATCTTAATGGGGGCTCTTGGCCTTACACCAAAAGCCGGATAATCCGACCCACGGCAAGGAATTCACCAGGGTACTTGTCCCATCTAACTGCCCAAACCTTCAAATAACAATGGCACGCGAGTGCTGGCGTCTTATTAGCAATTTGGAGGCTCACAAGTGTAAGCAAAGATTAGTAAGTCAAGACTGGACCAACTGCCATCGCTGAATTGCTTGCTTTGCAACAAATAAGCATAACGGTTGAGTTCTGAACCTCATGGGATGAACCGATGTCCAAACAATTAGCACGCAACCCAAGAGACTCGCGACCCCGCATTGATTTGTCGGTAGTTCCAAGAACCCAGTCACCATGCTCCCTTTCCCCAGCTTCTCCGCAATGTGACGTGCGGGGGCCATGCACACAGCTGACGCATGACGCGACCATGTTTTCCAGACTCGTAGTTGGTACTTTTGATTGTGTGCAGTCGCAGCTGATCTATCGGTTGATTCGATACGCGGATAGACCGCAGCCAGGCTGCCAGCCAAGAGGGCCAATCGCAAAACGTTCTCACGAGAGCAAAGATCGTGGCCGACATTCCGCGGCGGACCTCTGATCCCGTCGGCTGGCAAAAAATATGATGGCACGGAAACCTGGAAACTCCCCGACTTTCCGACCTTGTCGCACCGGCACAAATGGTCCGTTAAAAACACGACTTTTGCCGCTAGAAAGTCACACAAGCCCTTGGAGCTAACAGCACGTCATCTTCGCTACCTTACAAGTTGTCAACTGTAGGCTTCTGACCTAATCACCGCTCAGCACATAACAGCATATTGCTAAGCTTTTGGTGTCTTCTCGAGTCTTCAGCCCATGCTACGGCCTATGGGTGCTCAAGAGTCCTTATGGTGAGTGTCTCAAAAGACCACCTCGCATTCCGCTCTTGTGGCACTGGAGGTTGCATGTTATGGATCCATACATGTAGCTAGTAATTAAGGCACATTCGATAGGATGCACTGGAGTCGTTCTGCCATGCGACTGGTCGAAGCGTCGAAACCCTTCGCCCGGGGTTCTTGATTCCTATTGCATGGACTTATCCAGTAGATTACTAAGGACTCGGCCGAATAATGTGGTGCTGGGCGGAAATCCGCGGGCTGCGGACATGAGCGGCCCACATGTCTCTCTTGACCAATTCAAGCTCAATTTACCTCGGGATTCATCTCGTAAAATGGTCTGAGAGCTGACACGTTTAACGCTTTCACCACAGCTTCCTCGTTCTCCACCGTTCGACATCTACTTCCAGTGCAGTATCGACAGAATGGGCATCCCAGCAGACAAAAAGACAGTCCTGATCACAGGGTGCGCTACACCCCTTACCAACTTAGTTTTAACTCTGACTCGCCGAGCTGATCGCTGGAGGCGTTAGTGCTGACATGTTTACTGCAGCTGTACCCCAGGGGGAATTGGCCACGCCTTGGCAAAAGAGTTTCACTCCAAAGGTTGGTGTCAACTATCCAAGGACGAATAATTGGTATTCGAGTAAATGGAACGAACCATAACTGGAGATTTGGCTTGCTCACAGCATTTTTCTCCCAGGACTCCATGTCATCGCAACAGCCCGCAGGCCCGAAGTTCTCTCGGACTTGAGCGACTTGGGATTGACGACTTTACCACTCGATGTTACTGACAGCGACAGTATCGCGGTCTGCAAAGCCAGGGTCTCCGAACTGACTGGAGGCCGCCTTGATTTCCTGGTCAACAACGCGTAAGGCCTACCTCATGCCGTGGTGATTTTGAGCCAGACGGTTGCTTCTATCGCTCATTGAGACTCGGTTTTGTTTGCAACTCCTAGCGGCTGCGCTGCTTACTGACCATCTCCCAGTGGTTTGACACACACTGTTCCTGCAACCGACATCAATATGGACGAAGTTCGACAGACTTTCGAGACAAACGTCTTTGGCGTCATGGCCATGGTCCAGGCTTTTGTGCCGCTGCTGATCCCGGCCCGCGGTCTCATCATCATGATCAGTAGCCTTTCCGCCATCTCTCCCTATGTCTTCGGCTCAGTCTACACTGCGACCAAAGGTGCCCTCAACTCGTACAGCCGTACACTTCGCCAGGAGCTTCGTCCGTTTGGTGTGCGTGTCATGATTTCTATGACTGGTACTGTCAAGAGTCAGATTGCTAAGCTCACTCGTGAGCTCCCGCCTAACTCGCTATATACTCGTGTCAAAGAGATATACGCAAAGCGCCTTACGTTTTCCCAAAACAACGCAACAGTGTCCACGGGGGATTTTGCCCAACAACTAGTAGCAGAAGCCCTGAAAGGAGAGGGGTGGCTTGGTGGTTGGGTCGGAGGAGCTACAAACTGGTTCTGGGCTGGTGGCATGGCTGGGTCAGTCTGGCTGGCTAGACTTCTTTTCGGCGAATGGCTCTTGGATGAATTGGCCTACCGGAAATTTGATCTGCCTAAACTTGAGGCAATCGTACGTAGGGAAAATGCGAAGAAAGTGGAGTAGGCAAATACGTGTATTTCATTAGTCCAATCTGTTAGCCTGGAAAGCTCCATATTCTTCCCAAGTCAAGTCTATTGCAATTCAGTCATCTTGAGCTCAAGGCTCTTCCTCATCCCTCGAACGGGATTTCGAGCTGTCATCTTCGCGATCTCTAAGACCCAAGAATAATCCTAGCATCAACAGATCATAACATGCCTTCATGATTCCTGCTCCCGTAAATACTACGATCCAAAGATTCTTTCCGGCAAGATAGCCTGCAGAACCAAGACCACCCGCTTGAGCCCACGTCTTGACAATATTGACCACGCCCAATACAGCCGTTCTTTCATTAGGGAGGACTGCTGCTGCAAGGAATGCCTGCCTGGGCGCTTGATCCATGCTTTGGGTACATGCTCTCAAGGACAGGAATGCCATCGCCGTCCATGTTCCACCAGAACCAGGCAATGGAAGAGGAATCATTGCCAAAAAAACAGCCGACGGCAGGTGTGTAAAAACCATAGTCTTGAGTGGTCCTAGTCGGCGGGCAAGAGGAAGTGCGACGAGGTTCGAGATTGTGGCGAGAAGATTGGTGACCAAGAACAGAGTTCCCAGGGAGCTAGGCTGAAGAGAGTGAACGGTAGTGAAGTAGTAAGTTAACCAAGACGGTGATGCCATGCCGGAAGCGAAAGAGTCGAGACAGAACAGAATGAGGAGCCGGAACAGAATCGACCGAGACATGGGAGAGATGTAAGGGAGTAGAGCCCTTGCGCGTTGCGTGACCGTTCGCCGATGGGACTTTGATCCTTGTGACCGTCTATATTGGCTTTGCTCGGTGTCCGAGACATCGCCAAGTAGAGGTTGAGTCTCGTTGTTTCTTGGACTAGTAGAATCGTTGATTTCTGCCGGTGGTGCCTCAACACCAGAGGTGAGGGCAAATATAAGCAATAGCTTGAGCAAGCCGATCGCTGCATATATAAGAAAGACGACTCTGTATGCTTCGTTCTGGGTCCAAGACTCATTGTCTTCAAGGGCCTGCACGACCCAACCGCAGGTGAGTGTGCCTAGAGCGGCCCCTGCTGAGCCAAAGAGCGTGTACCATGCGAAGATATCACTGCGCCTTTCCTTCTGCGTAAGCTGCGCTAGAATTGACTCTTCAACGGCGCGGAAGGGTCCAATTTCGTTGCCGCTGGGACTGATGACCCCAAATATACTGGCAATGACAAGAACCCAATAGTTTCCAACCATAGCAAAGATCAACCCGCTCATAACCATCAATGCGGCTCCAGTGGCCAGGACTTTTCGTCTTCCAACCTGGTCGGTAACGGCGGTGAGCAAGAAGCTGATGACGACATCTCCGAGAAGAGTTAAAGTCATGAAAAGGCCGATTCGTTCATCCGAGTAGCCTAGACTTGAGAGGAAGTGTACTAAGATAAGAAATGATGCGCCGTATGCAAAGAGGCGAATAAAACGCTGTAAGCAGAGTACTTTGGTATCGCGACATGACTGCGAAATCGACACGAAACCGCTCTCTTCGCCAAGCCGCGATAACCAATGATTTGGCCCAGAAGACATGATGGTAGCCAAATGAATAATGCCGCGCGTAAAGGGACTATTCGAATATCTTCATTTTCAACGTGGACGCTAGATAGACTTATAAGTCGAACAATGTATCAGTCGATGTGAAGTTTGCTCGGGCTGTAAGCTCGGAGTTACAAGTGGAGAGGTCGGAGAAGTTCGGTTTAAGCCAAACTATTGCAAAACTTGAGTAATGTCACGTGTTTGAGGCCGCTAGGTATGACGTGAGAGGCAAAACATTTTCGTGATTATTATTTGCTAAATTTTGGAGAATACACCACAGGCAGAGGAAAATTTTATTCTCTTCCGTCGGCCCCCTGTTCAACATTGCCGCTCTTCCGCCTTGACTACGAGTCAAGGTTACACATGGCGAGAATGAGGCCAATTGCACTGTGCTCCACTTGAAACACTGAGACTCCATACGTAGTGGTGCCCTCAGGAAAAACGCACTGGCACTGTTTCGCCGGCATGGAGGCCTTTATTCGGCGTTCTTCACCAATGATATGAGGCTGGGCGTTTTTCTTTTACTTGAGTTCATTAGCAATCTGTAAAGGCAGAATGACCAGGGATTAGATTTCACATCGAGGATCAGTAGGATCACGCGACAGACAACCTCTCAGGCTCTCACTTACAGCTCGGAGGAGTACTAATCGCGGAAGCGGTAGTTAGCACAGTTTTGGGTAGACTCAAGAGGTCACCTTCGCGACCCATTTCAACCCTTGAGATAAAACAGAAAGCATTGTACTTCTTTCGCCGGAGGGATCGAAATGTTGCTTTGGTCCAAATTAAGGAACCCAAGGCCAGTAGCAAATTTTCGACTTTCTATTCAATAAGTGCTATTGAATGATTCCGATCCGAACAGGAATGGTAAGAAGATCTAGACCGTTATTTCTTTGCTCATTGCGAAGTATTGCCTGTAACGTAATTGATCTAGTTACCAAATTTACCCGGAAGAAGTCAATCATATTTTGGAATGTGGGATTGAACCGAGGCCTTGGACCGATGCTTCAATGCGTCAATTGAAACAGTGCGTTGCTATACGCTAATTGCTTCAAAAGTTCTAGACTACAAAAACAATGTTTCCGTTTGAAAAGGGACTTGCACCACGATAGAAATCACGAGGCGGGATATTCTTACGTGAAGGAGTCACTCCATTAATCGATGCAAAAGTCAAGTACGGGTTGCAGAAACATCTGTAGAGTACGCAGATCTCCACATAAGGCCTCTAGCATAAGCTCAATTGGACCAAAGTCAACCATGGTGACATTCGATTTTGCATGGTTTATGACACTAAGCGACGACCTATGCAGTCACCATGTGAATTGCTCAAGACTACGTTCTTGCTATACTGAATGTCGGAAATTCATGAACGTACATATTTACACTCCAAGTGATAGGGGTATAACTCTAAGCAAGTAACCATTCGGAATATTAGATCAGGATGCTCGAACTCATGCTAACCCCACAGACCAACGGTAGCTATGATCAGATTAACTTTAGTCCTCTCACATGCGGAAGCAAGGGAACGCGCTTTCATGGACCTTCGAGAGTAACCTCGAGCCCTAGCAGAATCAAGACAAATCGCACGAGCTTCACTGGAACCTTTGCAGGTCTTTGAATTCATATTAGGTTATTCTGCAGCGACTGGATTGGCGAGAGCATTGGAAACCTGGCAAGCTTGGAGTTGATGGTATTTCTTTTCGGACTGGCACTACACATACGTGGAGACTGACGAGTGTCGCGCATGAAACCAAATGGCCCGAAAACAATACTGATGACTGTAGACTTCAGTTCGACGTTCAAAAGTACTTTAATTATGATTATATTCCTACCAACCCTTTGGTTGATATTTGATAGTGAGGTGTCTAGCAGTCCGCCTTGCTCTTAGAAACGGGGCAGTTGATAGCGCTAGGAACGTTTGTGTTAGTTGCGTAGTTTCTCTTTGGTTGCTACTGTGCTTACTTCTTGTCGGACTCGTTGGCGGTAATACCCGCGGGCTGCTTCTTGTCCACTGTGCATTTGGCGAAGACGTTGGGAACAAGCTGCTGGGAAGTTGTGCCGCAATCAAGGTTGCGGGTGTTACCGTTGGCATCGGTAACATCAATGTCGTGGCCGACGCTCACGTACTGGTTGTTGATACCCTCACCGGAGAAGTAACTTCGCATGTCTAATCAGCTCGGTCGCCTTGAAATCCGGAGATAGGACCCCTTACCATCCGTAAACAACCTGGCGGCTCTCAAGAGCAGGAGCAGCCTGGGCTCCAGCGACGAGAAGGGCAGCAGCGACGGTGAAGGCACGCATTTTGAATATTATTTCAGAGTGAGAGATGTAAAGCGGAATGAAAATGAACGAGTGACGATTTGCGGATGGCAAGCAAAACAATCTCACAACCGCGGGCGCATTGTCTCGAGGTTCTTATACTATAATGTCGCACTCTGAGTACCAGTCTTAACTTTCACGTTTACGGGCCGTAGTGGGGTCTATAATTTCTGAATGCCTCGTTATCATGCCCTGACCACCGCCGAAAGTTACCAGTGCCCGGTGATCCCGAACGAAGGAGCAGCTCAGCGGCAATTCACTCAAAGTCCGAACTCTAAACAGGTGTAATTTTGTCGCATAGCGTGGAAATAAACTCCTCCCTATTATGACTGCTAGGGATTATACGAAGGTATATTATAATGCCTTCATTTTGGGTTGAAAGCACGGCCCTCTGCCGATCGCGCGCACGTAATTACCCCAATTCTAACTTCGCAGAAGGCCGAATGAGTACACTAAGTGACTTATGGTGAACGTAAACTGCGAACCGACTAATGTAGTTGAAGGATCTGGTTATCTTGAAACACAAATGATAAGTAGTTTGTTCGTAGGGCGAGATAACTGCATGGGGCTGTTTTTGGAAGAAGTCTTGCTGCAGAGGTCCATGTCTGCTTGGTAGGGGTTCGGGCACCGAGTCAGGAAGCAACCAACAGGGATATGGCAAGTTGTCTTCATTTGGAGAAAAGTATCACAGCCTCACACCCATTTGATCCGTAGGTCCCCTGATACTTTGATAGGGTAAGCCGTCGGAGAGTAGAAACCATGTCAGAATTGCGCGTTGACACATTCGTCTGGTTAATACGCTCAGATTCAATCAAGAAGAGGTGTATCTGTCACCACGACACAGTTGCTGCTCATCATGTGCGAAAACTCACCGCTGGTTAGCTTAGTACGATTATGCATGGCAAGAAATGCAGTGTGATGTACAATAGCCTCTCTACTTAGATGCGCTGCTCTTCTGGGAAAGATACTCTAGTCTTATATTGCACTACCTCCTAGGTTCTTACCCCTCTCGGTGTTTCTCTCTAACGACACTGTTATTCTCGTCCACCACCCGTGATGGGCTTGAGTTGTTCCATCACGGTAAGATCAAAGGATCTATCTAGCTTTTGAGGTAGCTACCTCTGTTCTTACAAGAGTGGAATGACAGCTGTATTCGTGTAGTCAGCAGAATCGGCAGCACATTCGATTCTGTCCATGCAGGTTCCGAAGATACGATCCCACAATCGAGTGTGCTTGCCGTAGTTGCCGCTAGTCTTCCAGCCTTTCCGATGATGGAGATCATGATCCTCAAGCACCAACTCGCAGTTGAAAAACTGAAGCGGCCATGCGAAAGGTGTCGGAGTTGTGGCATAAAGACGCAGCCCGCTATGTCCCGTCAATTCAGTGAAAATAACATATTCCTGACAGAACCACCATTCGTAAAAGCCCATTGGCAGCCCTACGAGCTTGAGCGTCGCCCACGTCAAGAAAGGGATACCGGCGATGTCCCAGAACTCTTGTTCACTGTCCGCGAAAAGCGTGAGAAGAGGGTTCGGGTGTTTCGTAAGGTGGTGTGTCTTGTGGTACTTCCACAACGAGTCGACCTCGTGCATAAGTCGGTGATACCAATAAAACCAAAAATCCAAGACAACACCGTAGAGACCAATCTCGAGAGGAAGAAGCATCCAATTTATTGTGGCCGGAGCCTCGTTCGAACGGTACGAAAGAATCACAGCCATCATTGATCGAAATGTGGCAGTAGATATGAGTGACTCGAGGACTGTTTTGACACTTTTGTCGGGGACCCCGTCGCGTTCATGCTTGTCGCCATCAAGGAATCCGTAGCGTTGGCCTAGACCGCGCATGGTATTGATTTGGTGGATGGCGACAGCCTTTATCGCCACGCTGTAGAATACGAAAGCCGCTACGGGGTGAACGTTATATCCAGTCAAGGATACAAAACCTTGATGAAGTAGGAGAGGTATTGTTGCGTGTAGCAGTATCCACCGATGGAACTGCCAGTGTGGGACATAAGGCACTGATTCGGTTTTGGAGTGGACGGGCGCAGGTCGGTCAAGCTCATCGTGATAGAGTCCTAGACGTTCGATAATCCAGTGACCGATCTTCCACGTACGCTTGTCGCTGCGACGCCAGGTTGACCTCATAGGATCTTTGCTTTCGATCCTAACAGTTTGGCCTTGGCTCGCCGTAGTTGTCGTGAGAGTAGAAGACATACTAACAGGTTTTTCGTCAGAGATGCCTAAAGGTTGATAGCAATGAGTGTTGTACCACACTATCATTATCAACCAGGTAGGTGATCTACAATCACGGTATATATAGTTTCATCTGATGATGATCCTCGGCACTACCACATTCACGTGTCCCACCCCCACATTGAAATAAGCTCGGACAACACGTCAGACCCTTATGTAGTATTGACAAGACTTCTCCTTTTGACACCTGATTGAAGCGCCATTGCGCTTGGGCCAGAGTCGACATCTTGATTGCAGGTAGGTACAGAGATGTGTGTTTCATATGGTTCCGAGGCTCAGTGTGGCTATGCGAAGCTATGCGAAGCTATGCGACGCATCACATCCAAGCCGAGTCGATCAAAAGCCGAGGCTATCGAAGATCGGCATCATTCGATGCGGAAGTCTCTTTGACTCGTTCATGTGCGAGCTGAGCGCTATGGGCGCTGTCGTAGTCAGAGCACATGAGACGCGATGAAAGATGTACCTTGGTCCGTAGGCTAGACTAGAGCAAGTAGGAAGAAGCTTTCAGGGACCTTTCATCTAACCATCAGAAAACCTATCATGGATGACATTAGTCCTTCCCGCCGAATGGCTGATGCTCCGTCACATGTTGGTTTGCATTGGCGGACACAAGGGACCGAACTGTTCAGAGGACATGAACATAAGATAGCTTGTAGTTTCAAACCCCAAATAAGGATCGCCTAGGCCATGTGCAAAATATTGGGAACATCAAGAACTCTGGCGTTCTGATCACATGCGCATGAACACTGGCGGGTCGATTCTCTTAACACACCAAGTGCTAACGCATCTCAAGGAACCTGTTAGATCATAAACCTCTGTGGCGGACACGGCCGGGGTAGATTGTAGGCGTTAAGGCATTACCCTTGCGGATGTCAATATGTTTACTCAACAAATCGTGACAGCGTGACGTACCGACGGCTGGAATTAAACCGAATGAGTCAGGTTCTAGTCATGTTTGTGGTACCCCTCTTCTGTTACTCACTTTCTCGCTCTCTCACTTTAAGAAAAAGATTAAAGCCACACAGAGCTTGATGTCTTGTCGCCAGAATTTGCCGCGAAATGTAACAAGTCAATGTTCAGGTGGCTAAACATTTCAATCGGAGCCATAGACGCAGTTCTGCTGCATCTGGAACGGAACCTAAATGATCTGCTTCTTGAGCTCTGTGCATGAATCCCTCAATGTTAACACGACATGGACCTCTTCCTTGCAATATAAGAGGCAAGCCCATTGTTTGTAGGGAAAAAGTTGCCCCACTGGGGTATGGTTCCACCCCCAAGCCTCGGGTTTTCCAGTCGACATATTCATATACGTTGTGTTGGCTACTCACTTACTACGGCTCCAGGATATCAAATATACACATCATAATTGAAATAGATCCATCAACGATTACATTTGAACGCATGGAATACACTGAGTGACGAGAGCCTTTTCGTGATTCCGTCTCCAGCCTAGGGTGGCAAAGTTCATACACCGAGGTAGTTATGTGAAATCAAATTTCTGGATAGATTTACATATGCGGATAAGGAAATTCACACATTGTTTTAGCAGGCTCTTGCATTACCCACCAGCTGCAACAATTGAAGATATTGAATTAGACACTTGCAGCGGCCACTTTAGCAACTAAGCCCAGGATTCCTGCTGCAGTGATTGGCGAGCTTGCCCTTGAGAATCCCTCCCGGAACGGCAGGCGTTCTTGAGCTAAGGGTTATGTGTAAGCATACGAACCATGGCAACAAGAAGGCAAGATTGGACATACTGAACAAAACCTTCACCCATTCGGTATTGGCATTTCCATCCTCCAGATTTCCAAAGACAGAGAGATAAAGAGCTGTCTCAATGAAGCTGAATTGGGTACCATCGGCCGTCAGGTTGAAGACAGGGTTAGCAGCAGCAGCGGCTTGCAGACGCGTGACCCTCGCCTTGGCGGCTGTTGGGATGCTGATAGTAGTGTTTGTAAAGGCGACCGCTACCGATTCCCATATGTCTTTATTGAACGAGTGGTTGTCGCCAAAGTAAATGTCATTACGACTTAGACTACCGTCGTGTTCAATGACTGCCACTGACTTTAGGGTATGCACACAATGTTAAGGGTCGAGTTGACTCACTGCCATGGGTATTGAGATCGTCCAGGTTAAATGTCGCGTTGTTGCCAGTCGTGGATGTGAGCAGAGCCTTTTGTCCCACCAAAGTAGTAGCAGCAGGATCCAGATTAACGGCTGCCGTAAAGCCGGCAATGAGGTCTGCAAGAGAGACATTCAAGCCGCTACGGGGGAGGTATCCGTGGTTGGCAAGAGTGTTCACCATTGGACAGGGGCTACGACCTGAGAAGTGTCAACAGGAGCTTCAGATTCGTATATTCATCTGATTGTGAGTATTACGATCGGCGGGAGTAGGCGCAAACCAGTCATTGGACCCGCGTCTGACAGCGAATGCGTCCGCTGCGAAAGCGAGAGAGAGAACGAATGTGGATTTGACAAGCATGATTGGCAAAAGGAGAGACAGCGAGGGATAGAGAAGGCAAAAAGGAGTGACGCGTAGAGGAGGAGCAAAAAAAGTAACACTTCGAGCTTGAAAAGCTGCGTTCAACCGGCCGGGTGGCCGACCATAGATAAGTCTTTCTCTTGTCTTCTTCCCAGACTAGGGATCAAGTAAGCATTGTGGTCCCTGAAGTTCTTTTGTCATGGTGATCAACTTGACGCGATTCCATATCCGTATGTAAGGCCGCGTTGAGTACCAGAACGAGCTTACAGCTGCGCGATACGAAATTGACTTTGACCCCTGCGTTCTTCTTGAGGGAACCCCACGATGGAAGATGTTCCCGATCAGGGGGCCTGTGCCGAGACCCTAGCTTCAGCGGGGAAGCTCGGAACCGGGTTCTGATTGAGACTGACCAATAAGTAAGCCTCAAAAGTCAGCATATGTGCAACGATGGCCTCGGTAAAATCGGAATAGCCTGTTTTCGGGCTTTCACCGAAAGAATGGCACAGTGTCCATGCTTTAGTACGGAAGAGACATGCCGCCGGTGTATCGTATCGAAGCATTCTGAGGGATCTGTGCGTAGGCTGACCGAGCTGAAGTTGCATTGGCCTAATCCCATGGGTATAACACAGTTTGCCTGTCATAGGCTCGGCCCGCAATGCTTAGAAGGATGATCTGAAACTCTATTAAAGTACAGACTCATGAATATGACGTCAATCTCACAATGGACTCAGATTCGTTCGACCAAGTCACGCCTGTCTACTGATTGGGATTTCATAGTGGTATCACGCCAGCCGTCACTCCTACCTCCGTAAGGTATCTCTAAGCGCATTGTCGTGATGTCTATGTCGTGTTCACGACGGGCCATCTCACTTGTAAAAAGGAAACTATTCGTCACTAACGCATTGCATAAAGACCATTTCGTAGAACTCATGTCGGCATGTCGGCCAAAAACCTCTTCAGAATGTCCAACCAGGTCGGACATCTCTTTCGGAATGCCTCTCATGTCACTCAACTTTTCAGCCTCGGCTTCTCGATGAAAGAAGAACCGCGATTATGCTGATATTGTTGTGTTTCCAGAGCAATAAAAAAGGCCGACGAAGTAGACTTGCTTTTCCCAGTACGAAGCACTTAGTACACAGCCTAGGGTTGCAAGGCTCACGTTATGCCAAGCGTGGACTCTTCTCCCTAACCATGAAGAGTCATACGGGACGTAGACGAGAACCAAAGTGGACATATCCCCTGGAGGCAAATTGGACAAATTTGATATTGCAAGTAATCAAGACTTTTGGAAACAATAGTAAGCTGCCAGGAGAATGCGGCAACGCAGGAAAAAGGAGCGATTAATGTGATCTTTGCGGGCGATACGCAGCTTCCCTTGTTGATGATCCGGGAAGTTTTAGTTTCCACTCTCGCATATTCAGACTGATTTCAAGTAGGCTTTGGGGATGAACACCCGGAAGTTCCTCCAGTTTCTTACAAACTTATCGGACTAGCCAGGTCGATGTATCTTGAGTGAAGTTGTCTGGCACAATTCAACAGTATGCCGCTGATAGAAACACACTTGATAGATAAATGTATCACCACTATGTCGCTCAGGTGCGGCCAGATCACCCGCCGCCCTAAGGTGGCATGAGAAGCGCGAGCAAGGTGAGTAGGGTGAGTGAGTACAGGATCTCAACTCACAGGCTACAGCGTGTTAGTATATGTTTTTGAGAAGACGTTTACAGATAATAGTCGGACGGTGCGTGCTATATCAGTAGCTTATATTAGTTCATTTCAGGCTGCCCTCTAGTCCATCCATCCATCCATCCATCCATCCATCCATCCATCTATCCATCTATCCATCTATCAGGCGGGGGCCCACAGGCTTAGAGTTTTCGATTTGTGGTGATCCTACTATGTCGCCACCTTGCTGCGAACTGCTCGCCAATTGTGTTGAATTGGATACTGAAATAGCACGAGCACTGGGAGTCCTCAATTTCACCAGCCATAGCTAAGACCCCACCAACAAACACCTTCCAACCACTAATAATCAATCAGCACGTTTCTCACCATGGAACTCCCTAAATCCTACCTAGTTTACGCAATATTATTACGATGTAATGGTTGGTGCTCGAAGCGATCTGGGCCCTCCCATAGCCGTGTCCACTAGACAAGGGACGCAAGTGCTCCGCTCTGCTGCATTTGAGCCACTGCAGAGCCACTGCAAAGCCACTCGCAAGTGCCTGTGGGTTTGCCCATCGATGGTGTCGCCATAATTGACCGCCAACCCTGCAATGAGCACCATGTCGCTTGTTGAAAGGATGACGAATCAATCTTCGCGACTTCCGACTGAAATATTGAATATTATTCTGGGCATGAATTGTTACATGACCACCAACTCAACAGAACTAGAGGGGATGTTCTCAGCCTGGCAAGAGGGAAAGATCTCACACCATCGCAAATGCACTACGACAAGGGGGACCGTCCCAGGCGCACC